ATTTTTAAAATGTTGCCAACAAATAATTACCGCATACACTGAATAACCTTTGGATATTGTTTGATTTCAAATGCTCATTTTTCAAGTGTGTAAAAGCAAAAAAGGGTTTATTTACATATCTACATAAAATGTGTTTTATTAATTATTATTATGCAGGTGAAAATTTACAAACTTAAAAAATTATAAATTATGGTCGAAATTCTACCACTGGACGTAAAATATTTTGTTTTCAAACATAGTGATAACATGGTCTTTGTCTCTGGAATTATTTGCATGGAAAATGTCTTTTTTTTAAGTTGTTTTAGCAACAAATTCACATCTTCAATAAAAAACCGGCCAAGAGCGTGTCGGGCCACGCTCAGTGTAGGGTTCCGTAGTTTCCCGTCCGTCACAATAAGTGTTTCCACTTATGAGTTTAAAGGTGGGTATCCATTATGTTCGCACTCCAGCAGCGCTCCGCGCTCCTGCAACTGTTCCCGGTAGTGGGTACTGTTGTTTCCATCCAAGTTCAAAATAATTTTTCTAGAAAGTCCTTATAATGTTCTACTTTTCAGATTTTTTCATATTTTCTAAACTTATGGTTTAAAAGTTAGAGAGGGGTGGGGGGGACACATTGTTTTTTACTTTTGGATTATTTCCGAAATTATTGACTTTATCAAAAATGATTTTAGTAAACCCCTATTCATTTTTAAATACCTTTCCAACAATATATCACACGTTAGGGTGGAAATCAAAAAAAAAATCACTTCCCACTTTATATATAGGGGGGGCTACACTAATAAAACATTTTTTTTTGAAATTTTTATTTTACCACTTTGTCGGCGTGATTGATACACATATTGGTACTAAATTTCAGCTTTCTAGTGCTAACGGTCACAGAGATTAAGCGAGGACGGACAGACGGACAGACAGACATGGCGAAACTATAAGGGTTCCTAGTTGACTACGGAACCCTAAAAAAGGGTCAAACTTTTATTACAATTAGATCTATAATTGAACATAGTATTATATTATTAGCCCAAAATACAATTGCCACAATACCTAAATTATATATATTTGTATTTTTGTAGGTAATGATCAATTATTGTTGTGGTTAAAATAAATATAAAATAGATTAATTACGTATGTACACATACGTATGTAATCTAGCCAGAATGCCTGAAAGTTTTATTCAAGGTTGTTTTTACGATTTTCACTAAAATAACATGCACTTTGCTATGATAAAATATAAAACACATATAATGTAAACCTACCTTCATCCAACTGCTGGGCCCAAGCCCCATCTCGTTTCTGACAGGGTTATGGAACAATTAGTTTGTCGCCTTGAAAATCGTTAACATATTATTTATAAACGATGTCTCTTATTTTCCGTATATTAACACCTATTTTCTATTGTAAACCTAATTTTAAAGAACTATATTAATTTTTTTAATAGCATTGTAATTGAATAATCAATAAAATTTCTTAATGTAAAACAAACATCAAATAGGAATAAAAAAATCTCCAGCAAAATAATGTGCAATTAGTCATAAATTATATTAACACAGTGCATTACACGCTCATTTTGAAAATGAAACAACACAAATTTAATTCATCCAAATTTCTTCAGGTGACTAGAATTTACCCTGTACGTATTTATATAAAATAAAGATTACAAAACTATTAATATAGAATACACACTTAAAATAATATGAAATTAAACATATTTTTATTTAACGATATCTGCAATTATGTGAATCATCGGATAAGCTTACAATAAGCAAAATGTGTTTCAAATGTAAAATAAGATAGTATGACTGAAAAATGAGTAAAATGTTTATTAATTCATATAATACATTAAATAAAATCAGTCTCTTTACAGTCAATATAGCCCTGGTTAGATTAAAGATTTAAAAATTTAATGTTTTATATAATATGTATTGAACATTATTGAACTAGAAAGTATCTTGTATATATTTAAAAAAAGCTATGTACTTATTTAAATATAATAATATTCACAATGACATTTGTTAAAGATTAAATAATATGAAAATTCGATAAACTTTATAAAAATGTGATTATTGGCTATAAATATAAATAAATGGAATATACATATGTATGTGATCCTTCATTCCATTTGATTGCATAGTTTAAATTGTTACATTATTAACCTCTCAACTCCTTAGCGGTTTCATGAGACCGCGGCCATATTCCGTCAAATCCCTAGCGGTCGCATCCACCCACAGCACTTTAACCCATAAAAACTACTTTTCTATGAAGAAGTTTGGCATTATATAATCAATATGAAATACTCTTTCCTCCAGTGCAATACAAAAACTGTTATGCCTATTTTTATACATATTAACCTATGAATATTTATTGATAATCTACGTTTATTTTGTACGAATTTTCGCGTGAATGTTATTGTGTAGATTTTTGGATTTTTCTAGTGTTTTATTAGTGTTTTAGTATAGCGTTTTATTATAAAATTGTAATGAAAGTTTTAGTGTGAATATAATTTAACTTTTTACGTAAATAATTTCGAGTAATATACATTGAAATAACTGTGATTTTTTTTTTTTGTTATCAAAATACAGTAAAATCTTTTTGTAATGAAGTAAAACCTGACTTTTGTTTAGACCACAAGATAGAGAATTTTGTATAGATTTTATAATGCTAAACTTCTTCATAGAAAAGTAGTCTCTAAATATAATTTTAATGGTTTTAAGTGCTGTTGGTGGGTGCTGTCGCATGCGACCGCTCGGGATTTGCCGGGCGCATGGGACTGCATGAGATTTTTATGGCACTTGAAGGGTTAAATAAATCATATTTTTCATGAGCGTTAATTTCTTAACTTTCCTTGACAATCCCAGATACTTAAACAAATAGATATTAGAACTAAAAGGCAATCCTTGTCGTTGCTACATCAGGTGATTTATGTATCACTAGCGCGCAATTTTTTTTCCATTTAGCATTGGCGGTAACGTCGTAATTGAATTTAGGCATTTATATTTCTGTGGTGTTGCACACATTATAATTTTACCTTGTTAAACTTGTAATTTACACAAAATAATTTAAACTTAATTTACGTAAATTAAGTAGGTATTACATAATAGATATCATTTAAACTCTTTTTCTAGTCTTTGTTCTACTAAGTAATTATTCAAGATCAATTTTTCAATTCAGTGCGGACACTGAACTAATTTGCTCCGTTAGTTTAACTTGTTCTTTAGGTTTAGTCAGTCTTTTGAAAATAATTTATTTAACATAAGATTAGAATTGTTAAAATGTTATAAAATGTTGTACATTTTGAAACAAAGAATATATTTTGACTATGGCAATGAACTCTTTTATTGCTAAATTCACAAATACGCATAACCCTAGAAAGACAATCTACACCAACAGAATGTAGAAACTAAGTCGACTGTTAAAATACTACTCAAATTGATGTGGTGTTAAAGAAAATCTGATCAGATGGTTGCGCGTGGATTTCAGATTTTTAAACACATTAAAGCAGAAGAACCTAAAAAAAATTCAGGATTTGTTGACCAATCAATATTTAAACAATTACACATCTAGACCTCATCTAAATATTGAAGAACAAGTGATGGAATTTCGAGAAAGATCTCCATTTACTGTACATAACGGTCAAGCATAAAAAGTCTACCGTTCACCCAAAAGACGCAGAATGAATAAAATGATATGCGTAAACTACCAATTCTGTGACAAAGAAAGAATATGAGAAAATAGCAATTTCATCAAGTTCATGTGTAATGTAACAAATGTAGACATATTGAACATAAAGTCACAGAAGTCTTATATACAGGCTCATATACAGGGTTATTTTTCTAAGTGTAGCAAAATTTTTAACTTAAGTTCTAATATACAAATAATTATATACCGTTATTGCAGTTTTTAAAAATACAATTAAATAAGGCTCATACTTTTATTTGAAATTATTCCAAATTTCTGTGCCTCCTGTGATGAGTGATTTAAGTTGAGTTGTACCCTTTTTGTGATTTTAATATGGGCATTATCAGAAAATAATTACGATTTTTTTGGTCTAACTCACGTTTTTCTATCTGCTATAGTTTCGGAGATAATTTTGTGCAAATTGATATAACTGTCCAGAATTTGGCAAAAAATTCGTGAATATCGATATTTGTCAAGATGTAACCTCCATAAGTAATCACTCAATGCACTATTTTTCGTACTTCATGATTTAAATGTGATTGTATTCAATTTCACATTTTATTTTTCAGTACAATTATCGTGAATATTGATGTGCCTAGAGTCATATCCTTTTGAACCGATTCTTTTCGATATGCCTAGGGTACAAATGGACATATACCTACCGATTCCAATGTGAATTTATGAATTTTTTTGTGAAAAGTGATACATCGTGAGATAAATCTTTCTACACAAATCTGTTTTTATGTGTAAACAGATATAAATGTAATTGTATTTAAAAGTCAAACCAATTCTAAAAATATTTATGTAGAACTATTATGTGCTAAATGATACGAGTGTAGGTAGTGTGGGTGCGCGGAGGTGAAGCGCCGCGTGATCGGGGATGCGCGGGACTTGGAGCCGTATTTTGAGTTTTGCTCGTGCTTTCCGCCCGCAGTGTCGCTGCGGCATTGACGGAGTGAGGTCACGTCCGAATGCGCCATGGATCGACGCGTAAGTTGATAGACGTATCATTTTACACGAAATTCCATAATATTGGATTTTTTGTTTTGATATTGAATTAAATCACCTGACACAAAATAACGTAATGTTTTCGTATAGTCATAGTAATTAAGTTGCTTGATCTTTTCTTTTGCAATTTTGTCCCTATTATTTTGTTTTAACTAGGTATTCAAAGTCATTTCCTGTTTTTTTAATTAACCTTTGATTTATTATTTAAAGTCTTTTTAGAGACAAGTGTTGTTTTCGTGCTGTGGTTTTCAAAACTTTAATGTATTTAATGCTAAATAGAATAATGTTCGTTTCAGTTAAAATCTCGAATTGATAAAATAATGGAGTTGGCCTCTGAAGCCGAAATTGAAGAAAAATATTGTAATACTCAGGGATATGGCTACGAATCAAGCGAGGAGCAAGAAACAAGAAAAACAGTTGAAGGGTCGCGTCATCAGGATCCAATAGTTGCAGAAACGGTTATTGACAAAGAAAAAACTAGTGATATCCAGGAAGAAGGCAACATATTAATAGGGACGCAAGAAGTAAGAAAACCAGTTGAAGAGTCGCGGGACCTTCCAATTGCTGCGGAAACGGTTTGTGACAATAATAAGAGGAACACGACACAAGAGAATTCTTCAAAATACCTACTAGATGACTTGAGAATTTCCGATTCATCAGACGATGGTGATTTTGGATCATCTAGCAGTGATGATTATATTTGCGCTACTGATGAATCGTCGTCATCCAGTGATAATGAAAGAACTTCAGCTAAAAAGAAAAGAACGACTACGTCGTCGGTGAGACATACCTCCAATATTACAGTTCCAGAAACACCCCCGTCGCCCATGAGCACATCAGAGAACCCTGTTCCTGGTTGCTCTTTCTGGGAACGCAACGGTATGAATAGTGCCGGGAAAAAGAAAAAAACAAGAAAAAGTGTCAAGGAGAGAAGACAGGATAGAGCAAGGAGAAAATTGTTTCGTAATACTGGCTTAGAATATATAACGACATCAGGGAAAACAAAGAAACGTCGGCAACTTCATGAACTTGAAAACTGCCGTCAAAAATGCAAGCAGAGACTACCACAGGACTTGAGGGAGAAACTTTTTAAACAGTACTGGAGTTTAGGTAGTTACGAAAATAGAACTAAATACATTGCGAAATGTATTGAAGTCTGCCAAAAAAAAACTTCGAAGCTTTCTCCAAAGAAAAAACGCAACGTCAGCTTTCGTTACTTTGTACATGGTTTTGATCATACAAAACATCCAATTTGCAAAGGATGTTTTTTGAAGACTTTTGATGAAAGTCACAAATATCTACAAACGGTATGCGAGAAACTACGAGACAATGGCGGTCATCTTCCTCAGCGTAAACGTCGAGTTGGTAAGTCAATTCCTGATTTCAAACTAGAGGAAATAAAAGAACATATTGCTTGTTTCCCTTGCACAGAAAGCCACTACGGCCGCAACAAAACCACTAAAAAGTTTTTGAATTCCGAGCTCAACCTTCAAGTTCTTTATAACTTATACAAACTGAAGACTGATGCTCCAGTAAGCAAAACCATCTTTAAAAAGGTCTTTGAAACCATGAACTTATCCTTTAAAAAGCCATCTGTAGACACTTGTTCAAAATGTGACCGCATCAATATGAAACTCAAGTATGCATCTGTGGATCAGGCTGCAAATCTGATAGAGACGTTCAAGGAGCATCAAGAGGCGTTTAAGGCTGCTTACGAAGAGAAAAAGGCAGATAAACAACTGGCTCAATCGAGCGAAGTTGTAGCTGTCATAACATTTGATTTGCAACAATGTTTACCCACCCCGTACTTGCAAACGAATGTTGCATTTTATAAGCGACAATTGTGGACATTTAATTTGACCATACACGATTTGAAAACAAACAAGGCTTTCTGTTACATGTGGCCGGAGTGTGAGGGTAATAGAGGGGCTAATGACATTGCTTCGTGTTTATATGATTTTATCATAAATCAACTACCAAACTTACACCCAAACGCTAAGAAGCTGATCATGTTCTCGGACTCTTGTTCTGGCCAAAACAAGAATTCGATTGTAACAACAATGTTAATGCTAGTTACTAGACTATCCCCACAATTACAATTTATTGAACATAAATTTCTCGTACCTGGCCATACACACATGGAGGCTGACACCGACCATGCATTGATTGAGCGTAAAAAGAAGATCACGAATATGGATATACACTTGCCAAGAGATTGGTACCAACTAGTGCGTACAGCTTCAAACAAAACAGCCAAGTTTACTGTTATCGAAATGACTCATGAAATGTTTTATGATTTTAACATTTTCGTAAAGCAATCTTTTACTTTTAGGAAAACGAAAACAGCCAATGAAAAGTTTTTGTGGTTGAACGTTAGATCTGTTCTTTATAACAAAGAAAACATATCCTGTTTTTCTTACAAAAAAGAGTTCAAAGATGTTGAGTACTTGACCATGGACTGTTCTAAACGGGGGAAAACTTATGATAATATATTTACGATTAATATGGTACCGAAAGCTTACCACTCTAAACTTCCTATTTCAACCGATAAGAAGAAAGATCTATTAAATTTGTTATGTTTTATTCATGAGAGCGCTCATGAGTTTTACAGAAGTCTGAGCTGCAAAAATGATGTCAAAGACAGTCCAGCGGATAATGACGATGATTCAGATGGTGAATAGGTTCCGGTTCATATTATAACTTATAGATCGAAAGACTTTGTTATTTTTTTATTGCTTTGTTAACGTTAGTCTACATACAGGTGGGCATATTATAATAATTTAAAAAGGTTCAATTCTGATTTGAGTATAAGTATTTTTTTAGTTAACATTATAATCATTTAAGACGAGTTATCCATCTCAGAGTGCAATTTATTATCTACCTCTATGGAACACCTGTTAAAATTTGAAGTGTTGAAAAATTTTGTTTGTTTGTTATTTTCCTAGATTTTTAGATTAAGACATGATTGTGATACTTTGTATTGTACTTAGTAGGTTAATATTGCTTATCGTGATACCTAAAGATAGATCTGTGCCATTTCTTAGATTTTAAGTTTAAAATTACTTGCTAACTTTTTTACAAATGATAAGTTCCTATTGAGAATAGTTAAGCTACATTCATATTGTTAAATCGTGATTATTTGATCTCAATTTACTTTTTTTAAGAATTTTGATAAATTTGTGCCTTAAATTTGAGTGAATTATTTATTTTGAAAAAGTTTAATAAACGTTGATTATTTTTCTACAACTTGTATTTATTTACACAATCCATATCTCTTTTGCTGATGGGTATATCTCGACTTATATCATTTAACTCATCTTCTAAAATACTAGGATTTTAGTATTCTGATACAATTCAGGTAAATATTGTAAATAGGCGACTGATAAGTAAAAAAATTAAATCTAAACGGTTATATCTTTATCTTTTGTTTGAAGAACACTGTGCTAGGATCATTATTCTGATGAGTTATTATATGTTTTAACTTCGTGTATATCAGTTTACACAACGACAACTTATAGATGCAACGTAATTTAACTGTACAAGTATCATTTATCACATAATTTTAGCACATAATAAAAGGTACAACTCACAGGTTTTCATGATTTACTTTAAAAATTAAATAATGTACTAAAAAACTAAAATATATAGCGAAAGAGAATATTTTACTCTACAAAAGAAGAAACTCAAATTTAACCTAGCCCACTTAGTTCACGAACAAGAATTTTTTAAATCTTGTTTTTGCACTCTTGTAAAATGATGATTTTTCACTTGTATCACCTATCACAGGAGGCACAGATTTAATGTGGGGCAAATTTAGTATGGGCAACAACGTGTTTGCCTACCGATCGACCATCACGAATGTGTGCGTGCGCACATGCTAATTGCATATTTAATTTAAAGGATAAAAATTACAGAATGTTTCAGATTTTTTCAAATAATTTTTCTTGACCATTTACCTATATCAATTACTCTGAACTTAATCTGCAAAATTGGGCCAGTTTGTGCAAAATAATCCTGTATTCTATACAACAGAATCGCTGTTGAGTCCAGTTTGTCAATAACCGGGTTATACGCCACATCCGTGCTGTGGTTTATTGATTTAATCTGGGGACACACGCACTAAGCAATCTAATTTAATATCATATGTATTAATTGTGAGATACATTGTGTTTTCATGCGATGGCCATATCAATTTATTTATTTAAAACATAAAAGATTTTTAACATTGATATGGTCACTCTAAGATGTTGTCAGATTAGCTAATTACGTAATAACTTACAACAGAAGGACCCTAAAGTAGTGACTGAATATATTAACCGACTTGGAATTACATGGATCTCACATCTTTCTTTGGTAAATTGATCTTTATTTGTACACTAACCAATCTCTAAAATTCAATTAGGTGGTTAAAAGTATATATAAATTAGAATAACACTAATAATTTTATGTCTCTAGGACGTAAGACAATTTTAAATGCCATTTGGTACAACATGATTATCTTCCCAGGGTTAATGATCATTAAACTCAAATTATTTAATAAACCTAGACTTAATATCTTGTGGAACAGGATTATGTAATATGTGCGGCGGCACTATCATCGCGCCGCAAGCGGAAAGCACGGAAGACTAAATCACGCTATCAAAGTTCCGAATTATTGAGCCATATACAGAACAGCTCTGTGCTAACACACGGAGGTACCATATCTACTGCACTGGAAAGGATACGGTATGTATCGCTCCCTGGGCCAAACACCTTGCCCAGTGGGATATCTCCCCTTTTCCTTCCACAGCTTAACCCGGCGTCATGGGGGTTGGGTCAAAATTACCCGACGAGTTTTGATTTACGTATAAGTCTTTTACTATATATTGGATAGTGCTGTCCCTGTCAGTAGCTGGAGTTATTGATATGTTCTAACCGTTCGTGACAAGCAATCAGTCGGGCGGCGTCTGCGTTAGTGTGTACGCGTGTGCAAAGTAGAAAAAGGTAAATATGACCCATCCCTGTAGTCAATGTAACAATTTCGCGCCATATTTATGATGAAAATGTTAAGTTGTTTTTTCGATAAATATAATGTGTTTTATACTTGTTATGATGAAATTCAAACGCATGTTTGTCGAATAAATATTTTGTTTGAGTTTTACCCATCCCTGTAGTCAATGTAACAATTTCGCGCCATATTTATGATGAAAATTTTAAGTTTTTTTTTCGATAAATATAATGTGTTTTATACTTTTTATGATGAAATTCAAACGCATGTTTGTCGAATAAATATTTAGTTTGAGTTTTACTTTTTTGTAGGTAGTCCGCAAAAATGACCCAGAAGAAAGACTACGTCATAGGCTAATGGCAGTTCTTGAGGAATCAGATTCGGATGTGGATATGTGTGACCAAGAATCAGCTGAAGAAGACCATGTGAGTGAACGTAGTCAAGAGAGTGACACGGAACAAGAGGCCTCAGATAGCGATGATGACAGTATCCTGTTGTCCATGCTTCGAAACCAAGCACGTTCTGATAATATTGAGGCAAATCCTTATGTGCAACAGGAATCCCGTACAACAAATCGTGAGTCACAACTTCCACATTATCTTGGCAAAGACGGAACGGTTTGGTACAAGACACCGTTCCGTCAAAATACTCGGATCAGAGCTGAAAATATTGTAACGCAACGCCCAGGTGCAGCTTCTGTGGCGCAATCTGCTATGACTGAAATAGATTGCTGGTCTCTTTTTTGTACTGAAGATATGCTAGAAAATGTTTTCAGATATACTAATGCACGTATTAGACCTAAAATTTTATCTTGTCAGAATTTATCTAAGTATACCCACATAAAAGAATGCAGTATGGCTGAATTAAAAGCTTTCTTAGGGCTTTTGTATATTGCTGGACTAAACCGCTCTGGGAGGCAAAATTTGAGTGATTTGTGGGCTACTGATGGTACGGGAGTGGAAATATTTGGTCTTGTTATGTCAAAACAGCGTTTTCATTTTATCCAAGCTTGCTTGACTTTTGATGACATTTCCACTCGTGAAGAAAGGAAAGCACTAGATAACTTAGCACCTATAAGGGACCTGTTTGACATTTTTGTTGAGAATTGTAAAAAAAACTATGTCCCAGGGGAATGTCTAACAATCGATGAAATGCTTATAGCTTTTCGAGGCCGATGTAAATTTCGCCAATACATACCTTCGAAACCAGCTAAATATGGCATAAAGATTATTGCTCTTGTAGATTCCGAAAAGTTTTATATCAAACTGAATATATCCAGGAAAACAACCCTCCAGCAACAAACCGTTCGATGTCGTAGATCGCATTGTACAGCCCATATCTAAAACCAATTGTAATGTAACCTTTGACAATTGGTTTACAAGCTACGAAACTATCCAGCATTTGCTCCAGCATCACAAACTAACATCTGTCGGCACGTTACGTAAGAACAAGAGACAAATCCCTCCGGAATTTACTAAAACACGTGGAACGGAGGTACGTCTCGATTTGGTTTCCAAAAAACTGTACCATTGTTTCCCATGTTCCTAAAAAAAATAAGGTCGTTTTACTGATATCAAGCTTGCACCACGATGACGCTATTATTGTTTCAACTGGAGAAAAGAAAAAACCAGAAATCAACACGTATTACAACTGCACCAAATGTGGCGTGGATGTAGTCGATGAACTATGTGCCACGTATGACGTGAGTCGTAATTCGAAGAGGTGGCCCATGACCATTTTTTATGCAGTACTGAACATGGCAGCTATCAATGGGCTTATAATACACCGAGTAAATAATAATTCAAATATAAAACGCCGCCGCTTCTTGAAAAACTTAGGCCTAGCTCTTGTGGGAGATCATATGAAAAAACGCAGACGTTGTGCAATTGCCTCGAGAAATGCGAAAAAAGATCGGTCGATTCGTTGGCGAAACTTCAGCAGAACCTCCAGCAAAAAAAGAGCAATGTTCGCAGGAGATGTAAGGTATGCCCAGCAAAGAAAGACCGCAAAACAACCCATACATGTAAAAAATGCAACAAATTTATTTGCCCCGAGCACGTCCTACCTTTATGCTCTGACTGCTTCGACAATGATGAGTCTGATTAAAATTATTGATTGTTTCTCAAAAGACACATAATCTTAGTTCCTAAAAATGCAAAGTACATTCAAGACTGATAAAAAAATTATTATTTTCGTTAGTTTAGGTAAAATGTGATTAAACTGTTGATTTTTTTTTAGTTATTTTGGAAAGAAGTTTAATAAAAGTAATTTAGTAGTTGTAATTAATATTTTTGTTTTTTTTTTGCTAAATCTTTTAACAAAAAACCTACATTATTCAAGAAATAAATATTTTGCTTTAAAATTATTGAAATATTATAAATCAAAAATATGGGTTAGGATGACCCACCCCGGTGTCCGTGTAACAATTTTCCACCCCCATGACGCCGGGTTAAATGTGTTATAAAATATTTATAGAAACAACCAGAAATCAAATTAGATTTAATAACCTAAAAAATGAGATCGGGTAACGTTTAGGCGAGGTTAACGTAAAACTTATTATTATTAATACATATTTATAATTATTATTGTTAAGATTTTTTAATGTTATGTAATGTGATATTTATTTTACTGTTGTTGATTTTTTAATAATATTTAACTTACTAATAAAATATTTGTCATTAAAAGTCATTTTATGTAATACTGGATAATGTAAATAGAAATAAATGTCTGAATATTGCATAATATATGTATGTACACAACAACGCATATAATCAGAAAATACAAAAATCAGTGACCGTCTTTATAAATGCAAAAAGTCCCGGATATTAAGGTTTACTTCAATATATATAATAGAAAAGACAATATAGTTTACATCACACAGATGTTTCCATTGGGAAATCTTGCAATGTTGCCACCGACACGAAAGCAAGATTACCATGAAAAATGTTTTGTATAATATAATATTTAATTTATACACAATAATCTTTCTTCTGTCATAATCGTGTCTTGAATACAGCAATTTTTTCTAGCAATGCCACCAAAAAAAAAAGGCCGAAAGGCAAAAAGCATACAAAGAAAGGCTAAAAAAAGGAAAAGTAGGATAAACATGAAGAAATAAGAGTTATATATTTAGAAAAAGTTAAAGAAAATATCAAAAAGCAAAAAGAAATGCTTATAGTAAAAGATTAAGAAGTATTACTATTGTTATCGAGCTTTTTTTTTCAAAATTGTAAAGCTGAACGCATATTTCGCAACACCGTAAGCCCCGTACGCGCCGCATTTTCGGATTGCCTCACACATTTGCACTTACGCACCGTATGCAATTCTTTTGAGTTGCCAACAACTTTTGCAGTGTTTTCCAACCAGTGGTGTGAAACGGTACAGTGACATTAATCGCTAGAGATCACTCGGATCGCTAGAATTTTTTTTTGTTATAATAGACTGCTTATTGGCAGAAGAAGAAGAAAACAAAATTAGAAGAAAAAGTAAATTTTAAAACACAATATTAATTTAAAAAGGCAGTTGTATGAAGAATATTATACTTTATTTATAAGTCATATTAGATGAAGGAACGATTTTTCAGATATTTGCACATACAAGAAATTTCAAGAATTGCTACATATATTAAAACCATATCTCTCTATGGAAAACACAAGATTTAGAAGGCCAATTGAACCAGAGGAAAGTATTTTTTGTTGATAATTAAGTAATTTTATTTGAATAATTTATCACTTTTTCAAAAAAATTATGTATAATTAATTACGAATTAATTAAAAGTTATAAAAATTCTTGTCTGCCGACTCATTGTTACCTACACAGTAAAAGTAAATGCTCCTGAAATTAAGTAAAAATATATTTCGAAACGAAAGTGGAAACCCCCAGTTTTAGTGGAAACTCCACTAAGTTGGCAACATTAGACTACACTGAGTATCAGCACGCGCCGAACGCACCGCATTATATGACGTCATCAACATGCCTCTTTCAGTATTCGAATACCTACCGCATTTTATAAAATACTGGGCGGCTGCAATGTGCGAGGTTTCATATGATTTCATACAACGAATTCTAAAATGCAGCGCGTACGGTGCTGACAAATGCGCCTTTAGCTTAAATCTGTCATTTCTTTGATACATTTTTTTATAAATCGATTCTACTACCAATACGAAAGCATTTTTCACTACGGGAAAAGAACCATTAAAAATTCACGCTGTATAATTTTTATAAATGTCGCCAATTTACAACACGCTTAATGTTTACTGGTTAGTAACAATAAGGACTATTTCGTAACAATATTTCGTTACAACATTTTCGTTACGTACAATTATTTTGAGAAATAGCATGTAGTGATAATTTGACAGTCCTAACAAACAAAAAGTAATAATAAACACAATTACATATTACAATAAAACTCAGTAGCTGAGCTTAGAAAAGAACACCTACATTAATTATTTTCTTACACAGACTGCGAGCAATTTTTCTGCGTTTATTTTCCGACTGACGATCTATTCGATAATAATTGACTCTCGAGCTTACGCACATTAATACAATGTGCATGTATACACTCAAGTAAAATCACCCTGCCAACGTAACATAAAAATATTGTGAGTTTCTTAATAAAAACATTATTGTAAGGATGTAAATATTAAATCTCCATATCTTTTACCATTTCGAATTAATTGCATTAAATAAATCATTAAATCTGTGTTTAATACTCATACTAGCACCAAACTTGTCATATAAATATTCAATTTCATTGTCATTACCATTGTAAGTCAACTGCTTGACCAGGACTTCTGTCCAGGATTCTAACATCATTCATATATCTTACAATTTTGAAATATAAAATATGTTTTAACATTAAGGGAATGGAAGATTTACATTTAAATATTTTAATAATGGAATGATAAAATTCAGTACTTAGGGCGAGCTCAGCAAGAGCAAAACTTTCTGTCCTGCTTTGCTTGAAGTTTCTGTAACGACTGACGCCGGCGGCCCGACGCACACAACATTGCATATTCCACTGATGTTTCCATTCTGAAATAACAATTATTTTCTTAATTATTTTCCTCTCTGAACTAATATCAATAAAACAAAATTTTATCAAATCAACTCAAATCTAGCACAGAGACGATGATTAGAAAATGTCAGAAATATGAGCATGGCTTTAAAAACCGTGAATACAGTGTGATTAATCATCTGGAGCTTATTCATCACTTACTTCCAGGTGGAATAGTAGTCAATTACTTGCTTATAAGTAGAAAAGCAATATGTAGCGCCTAAACATATGTCAATCCTGAATGATTTGTTCATTATACCCGAGTCGCATCAACGTATTGATGATTACAATTAAAAATTTTGGGGGTTCTGGGTCAAACAATTGAAAAACAAAGTATAGTAATGTCCGACGAACGACATTATCGAGCTGGTCTCACAAATCACAGAGTACTAAAACTCGAAATGGTCCAATTGAAAGATCGATCCTAATGACCCGGTTCGTTGACGCATCAATACTTGAATGATCGGGTCATTAGAAATGAATGATTGACACATGTCTAGTAGCGTCACTATTATAAATAAGTTTACAGAATTTAGGGAAATTGCTCAGCAGGATCTCGCTTGATACAGCTTTGTTAGCTAAGAAGATGGATTTTCGTCTACTTTATATAACAGTGCCGTAATAGCACAACGGCTAAGCGCTCACTGTAAATAAACCCGTGTTCTATCCCCACCGTCACGAATGAAATTGTTAATTACAATTTTAAGGGACAAATTATCACGTGATTTGCGGTGATGGCACACATCGAGGGGAAACCATGTCTGAGAAATTAAAAAAATATTTTCGAGGAACACTAAAATCTCAGAAATGACTGCAGTTCTAGACTGTATTCTAATTGGCTTTACAGATGTGTGTGAAATCATGCATAAGCTAACTAAATAATAACCTAGCATTATTATAAAATTAGCCATATTTACGCACGCCTATTATACCAAAAAATTTTATGAGTCGTCAATAAGGGTTATAGAAAACAAACTTAAGAATATTTTTTAGTGTTTTTCTTTATTTCTAAAATATTGCAATGAAATTATTCTGATCTATTAATAACCTAATATTTTAATCTAACCACAAAAATCTGAAAAGGTGGTCTGACTCACTTATAAGAAACTTATTGAAATAATGGTGAGAAAGAAGCGCACAGTCCACCTGATAGTAATAGTTACTCGTAACTCTGTAGGTAATACACTATCATTTACATTTATCTGCAATTAAGAATCAAAACGAAATAAGTTTTCATTCCTAAGGACTAAGATGGAACGCCTTATTAATATATATATATATATATATATATATATATATATATAATATGTAACGTAATTAACGCACACCCTCAGACACCCCAATTAGTATATTATGTTATAATCATAATACATACACAGAATTTTCAGTTAAACATTTTTATGCACTGATTATTTATCAAATTAGTTATACTATTTCCGGAAGAATGTTGTGGTCACAGTACAAATCCACGTACGCAAAGATTTTAACGTGCTGAAATAAAGTTCATTTTTCTTTATTTTTATTGAATGACAGAATTAGTAATAATACATATAAAACTACACTCTTAAAAGCCTTATTGCCTTAAGTTAAGGTCCATTTCAGTTTGTTTTGACTGTACAGATTTAGTGTGACTGTAATTTACGTAGTTTTATTTATTTTTGGGATAAAAAATGACCTATATTAAAAATGATAGGAATCGATTCAGTAAACGATTCTGAACAAACTACTTTCTCAAAGTGCGTTAATTATGTTACATGTTGTATTATATGCTAAGTATTACCCGTAATAAGGGTTTCCCATTATTCGCCACTCACCATACAAAACGCAACAGCATTATACTGCTATTTTACGAGCATGGTCCATCCCCGGTCAAGCCAACTTATTCATACTACAGCCATAATACACTGTATCGTGGCATCAAGAGACTTTATGAATGCGTAGTCAGTGTTCAGAATATCCGACTAACACATCATGACAAAGTTAATATTTATCAAAACAATGCAGACACAAATCGATAATTTTCTTGAAAGTGTTGTGTTTTGCCTACCACTGATCTAATTGCATATTGAGAAAGTATTGGACGTGATTACATTGTTTTTACCCTCACTGCATCCATCTCTCCAGCCAATAAAATCCATTGCTTAAAATAGACCACCCCGTAGATTGCCTCATAACTCATCGCTTGGCAAGCAGTTTCGCAACTGCAGTGTTTTTTTTATTTTGATTTGTTATCACGAAGATGCCCCTGCCAATCTCCTGTTTGAGTTACCCCCTGTCGCGTCTTACGACATCCACGTGACGATATAGGGTAGTAGTTATTCTTACACCACTTCTACATGATTGTCTTCCAGCAGTATTTAGTAAATGTCACTAAAATCGGTCCTAGAGAATATCATCGGAAACTTACATACCTGTACATTATTTTATCAAGAAGAATTTCAATAGCTCGATCAATATTCTGTCCAGTTTTGGCACTTGTTTCTAAATATGGCAAGTTATAGTTTTTTGCAAATTCTCTTGCACGGTTCTGGTTCACCAGTCTCTTCTCTTGCAAATCACATTTATGACCGCACAGAACAATGTCGGGATCGTCGCTCAAACTATGTGTCTGAAAAATGAAATTGAATACTTACTCCCAGAAGTTAGTGCTCAAACAATACCGCTTAAATATGTAGAATGTTTAAGCCCACAAGCTAAACGTATCTTTGCCAATGTTAAACATGGACCCATTTTAGTATTTCACAAGATAGAGAATAATATTTATATCTAGACCTTACTCAATGAATGAAAAAGATCTTTATCATTGTGCGCGACTTTTATGCTCGTACAGTTACTTATTTCTACCGATTAATTATTGATTAAGCTGATTTAAGTTAACAGATTTAAAACAAATTCTTCTTAAAAAGGTTTTGGAATTTCCTACCCGGCATAAATGTAAAAGTAAAATAGACAGCAGGGGCTAAGCGTTTTTTTTTTATAGCAGTGGATGACAAACGATCACAAATCCACCTGATATTAAGTGGATGCTGTTTCCCATAGACATCCACATTTATCCTCAATTAAGGATCAAAATGCAAATTTGTTGTCACCCCTGACCCTGAGAATTAAGATGGAATGCCTCGATTCCAGTAAAAAGGGTCTCCGGTTCTCTAAACTCACCATATGAAACACAGCAGCATTGTGCTGCTATTTTACGTTTGGTCGCGAGTTAGAATTCCGCATGGAACAAGTATTGGTATGGCCTACAAATAATTGTTTAGTTCTGTATGTGTGTCCTTGTGCAATTTATAGAGGAAAATTCATTGTGTAAGAGTGACTTTTTAAATAAAGGAAAAAAACAATTTCATGTCATAAAGAAAGTTAAGTTAGAGATTTTCTCTAAAAATTACAGTATAATATAGAGTTATTTTTCAAAGAGTAGCCAAATTTTATACTTAAGTTGAAATAAATATATAAATAATGATATACCATTGTTTCAGTTTTTAAAAATACAAGTAAACAAGGCTTCTATTTTTATTTGAAATTATCCCAAATCGAATGTGAATTCATGGGCAAGCTTTTTGCATACAGATCGACCCTTACGAATGTGTGCATGCATATCAAAATCAGTTAAATTATGCATTACCACGCATTTTGAATTTAAAAGATAAAAAGGACAGAATTTACTTACTCTTCTCTGCAAATTTTGCCAGTTATTGCAAAATATCCGTGTATATTTTATGGTACCTCTAAAATGTTTTAAAGTTAAATATTAAAGTTACAGCCTATATACATCCCACAGCTGGGCACAGGCCTCCTCTCATTCCTGAGAAGGTTTTAGTGTCCACCTCGCTGTCCAATGCATGTTGATGAACTTGACATGTCTTCAAAATATTTTTTTTATTTCTCAGCCATGCAAGTTTCCTCACCACCGAGCACATGGTAAATCAGCACTTAAAATTGCAATTAACAAATTAATTCGTGCCGGCTGTGATCGAACCCGGGTTGCTCGCATACCATGAAATCTACAGCGAGCACTTAGCTCGTGAGCTGCCACGTCATTTTATGGTATATGAGACTAAATATTAATTTTAAATAAAAAATTTATGGTGGAACCAAACACAAACTGTTTGTAAACTTAAAATATAATATGTTACCTTCAGCTGCTCAATCCAGTTTCTGACTTCGAGGAAGGAAGCTTCATTAGTTAGATCAAAAAGTAGTAGAAACCCCATTGCATCACGGTAAAAAGCTGTTGTTAAACTTCGGAATCTGGAATTATAAACCCAATTTTTAATATGTACCACTTTTAACCAGATTTTTTTATAATTCAAAAGTCATAATCCAAAGGAAGTATGAGCAATAAGAAAATCTAATGAAGCAGCCTAAAATAACGGACTGAATCCTTTTATTGAATTCTAAAAACTTTAGGTATTACTGCACTATTTATCAAAAAGTCCCATTATTTTACGTTTGACAAACTCTTTGTAGTTAAGATAAATCGGGATTGGTAAGGCATTATCATTTCACCACACAAAATTCATCTGGATCTAAATCATATGAGGTCAGAGAGGATGTATGAGTCGTTACACCCTTTTATTTATTACTGCTGCTTGATTCTGGAAAGTTCATTCAGCTGATACCAGTAGCTGGATCGCGGGTGTTTCCAAGAAATTTTATGGGAAGTCTTGCCTTTGAAATAAGTGTTGGCTTGACAAGCTAGGGAGGCCCTGCCTGAAATAAACAGTCGCCTAACCAAGGTCCTAATGAGATTGAACAAGCCACCTTTCAGGATAGTAACAAGTGCTATCACAGGACATGGCTCTTTTAACAAACATTTGTTTACCATAGGTGTTACTGATAGCGCCTTGTACAGAGCATGCACCATGGAAGAAACGGCGGCTCACGTGTTGCTGACATGTCCAGAAGTCGCTTCATACAGAGCTAAACATCTCGGCACGCCGAGATCGCTCCCCGAAGTTGCTTACAACATCAAAGGACTGTTGAACTTCTTCGGGAAGATATCATGGCTTGAATAATCACATTATTCCTACTGCAAAATACGCGCTTAGACGTGGAATTGCGGAAAACAGCCCGTCGTAAACTAAACTAACTAAATTAAAGTGTTGGTTACACGTAGGTGTTCAAAAGAAAACTCTAACAGACGTTGGCCACTGTCATAGTTACTGCCAACACCGTGGCAACCAATACAGTTAGGCCATGTGGAATGATTATGGCCCACACGGGCATTATAGTCTCCTAGGTTATAGAGGTGGTCACCACTGGTAACTTGTAAATAATATCTTTTGACTACTCAGAAGATTGTAATGTCGAAGCATAAACAGAAATTAAAATAGCGCACAGAAGTGCTTCGCCTGTGGACTGAGTCACCTCTTACGACACCCTCGTCCTTTGGTAGGATTGGTGCTATTCTTAAATCAGACACCACAAAGTCAGTATGTACATACACAATAACATGCATTGCAGGCGTATCCATCAACTTAAAAAGCCCTCTTTCTCCAAAATTTGGATAATCATAGACCCCAGATTGGATAATATCATTAATTCTTGTGTACTGATTGCACAGTATTGTAAAAGACGCAACTAGTAGAAGAGCAAGTACCCCTAAATCGGTACCCTACGTCGCAGCTGGTTTTTCAGAGGATTTCAAAACCTGTCATCAGGACTAGCTGTTTCTATGCTAGTAGAGGTATGGAATTTACCTTGTACTTGGGGCACTAGCTAAATTGGTTTATTCTATTGAAGAAGAACTTGGGTGTTTTCTTTAATGTCTCAAAAGCTTTTGACAGGTTCTGGCACACCAACACTTTCAGCAAGCTTCCACCTTTCTTATTCTTTATCCCCTGGTGTAATCGGTGAAGAACTTTCCTCGGAAAGTTTCCTCCACTAGTGGCGATAAGCCACATTATTGGTAATGTTGATTTGGTTGAAACCTATTTTGTCAATTTCGACCACAGGGGTATTGTAGCCAGCCTCTCGAAATTCTGCTGCACCAGCCTATTTACATATAGGCTTGGCAGTACTCACTGCACGACCGGATGTGTGTTATATTTAGGGTATAAAGCTACTCCAGCATGAAGTACCGCACCACACTTTCAAAAATATCAATTTTTTTTGGATTCAATTATGATTATAAATTATATTGTTGGCACTTAAAAACCGCCGCTTTAGCATGCTGTATAGTGCCGCCCAGCCAGTACTATATTTTCCAATTCGAAACTGCACCACAATAACACTATCTTAATCTGGTATTAACAATTTTGACATAATATGTGTTTTTAATACTGGAAGCAAATACCAAATACAAAAAATGTACAAACCTTTCCTGACCTGCAGTGTCCCAAAGTTGTAAATGTATGCGATGTTGCCTTCCATTTTGTTGATAAATCTGTGATACATAACAAAAACATTATTTTTATTTTGCATTATAACTCCAATATCCGACTAACATCAGTTATCAATGTCGTAAAACCAATAAATTTATTAATTGCTATCATAACAATTACCAATATTATCACAAACTAAGGTCAGACTAAAATGCTGCGATTTTAGGCATGGTTGTGTAACTTTTGGTCAGCTTGGTCAAACAACTATTATTTTCAGAATTATTTCAGTAATTAATAAAACTGATTGTTCTTTCATATGGCATTAATGGTGTTTTATATAAAAAATATGGCTAGTATGTATCTTTTAGTTTTTAATGTAGTATTTCAGATATGCCAACTTATTTTTCACTTAAGCCTGTTTCAACATTGCATTGAACAGAGGAGTGTCTCGAGAGATATCCTAGACTAGGATTTTATTGCATTTAATTATTAAAAATAAGTTAATAAAACATTATAAAATGTGTATAAATAGATTTGTTTAATGTACAACTTTTTTAATATTTCATGTTGCATAATTTGGCCTTTTTTATGGATTTTCATGCATATTTGCATGTATGTTATGGCCTTTTTATATTGCATATAATCCGGTCTTTACTAAATAGAGGAATATATATTCTTTAGTAAGTACCCACATAATAATTCAATATTTGTGACACTTTAGTTGACGAAACAATTACATAAATGCCATAACAGACACTTATAATTGGTAACTGCTTCAGTCCTTTCTATAAGTATCTAAAAGAATTAAAAAAAAAATTATACTATATGCATACATGGTTGAGCCATGCTGCAGCTATATTAGAATACCCGCATAAAGTAGAAGCTTAATGCTGCTATGCTATATTTTATATGAGAAGTGTAGAGAACTGGAAAACCTTTTTAATGTAAACAAGGCATTCCATCTTAGATCTCAGAAATGACAATTCATCTGCATTTTAATATTTAATTGTCACAGCATCAACACATACCATGTGCTTATTCTATAAAGAAAATAGAAAAGTAATTTTTTAAATTCTCAGAAAACATAAATAAATACAACTTTGCAAGCATAGATAGAAATAATAAAGGGAAATAAGCAATATTTCTAGTGATATCCAATTCCATAATATAATAATATTTATGAAAAGAGCTAAAAAGTTGAAGTTGTTTCCATTCGCTTTATCCGCCCATATACCTCTTCTACCTCATTTCTACCACATATAGCTCAACCAAGCTAAGTTTGCACCTTGCGTCGATTATGTCACTCTGACTCTTAGGTACGGCCTGTAAAAAAGGACTATATATGACTTTAAAAAAGTAAACAAATGTTTGTTCGATTTTACTTTGCATTTAGATTTTACTTCACGGGAAGGTTAGTGGGAAGCGGACAGGGCACCGCATTCCAGCGAGGT